CGCCCAGTCCTGAACGTTTCATTACACGCTCGGTACTCTGACAAAAGAATGCAGTATTTATCCATTCTCATTTCGTTTGACTTTAAATCGATAGATTACACCACCAAACACATCTTGAACACTGTTGTTACCACCCCACTCCTCATTCAGTCAACGGGCTGTCACCGCCTTAAAGAGCGGAGATTAGTTCGTGCGAATAAATTGTTCCAGGCGATACTAACCAGTATATTGCATATTTCATAAGAATCCTGAGCATTAGAAACGTATCCCGACACTCACTTTCAGCCAAAAATGTTCGCAAATACCCGTACTGTATAACTCCCATTAGGGGTAAAACGCCCATGATGGGCGTTTTGCCCCACACCAAAGTGGGCGTATTACCCCAACAGCACATTCAAAACGAAGTCCACCAAAATTAAGCGTGTGACGATTGTGTTGCAAACCAGTAAATGCTCAAAACGCAGCTTAAATCCGCAGGTTCTGCGTAGCTAAATTTCATTGCCTACTTTAATCTCTGTCAGACAAAGTTTTAGTAGTATGAAAACATGTAATATCTAAAAATTGTCTGAAATAAACTAATCTTTATCTTACGTCCAGAACAACCAACTTGTAGAACCGAAAAAGGGGGCAAAAGTAGATTCCTGCTCGTTCTTGAAAATGGCTATCGAGAATTCTTCGAAAAGTCGAGCACTTCATAAAAAAGAGGGGTGGGCGTTTGACCCGCCCTGGGCGCTTTGCCCCACTCTACCCTATGATAAGGTGTACCAAAAACGGCGGCGCTCCGCGCCGCCGTTTTTGAGATATTCGCGAAAAAACACAAACCCAGCAGGGCGCGGGTTAAACGATACGCCCCTTGCATGACTGGGTACTGACTTCCACTGGCGTCGTTCTTACGGCATCGCTCTTGAGCAAAGCGTATAAGGTGGCGTCCTCTGCAACAGTCCAATGATCACCACACTCACCAGAGGGCAGCAGTCAGCAGTGTTGAATCGCGCATGGATACGGCCTTGGGGGGTTGGGGGGTTACGGACAAAAGTACGTATCGCTAAAGTACGTAGGACAAAAGTACGTAAGCAAAAGTACGTAGGATTAAAGTACGTATCGCAGAAGTACGTACAGTATAAAGTACGTATGGACAAAAGTACGTCAGGGACAAAAGTACGTATCGCAGAACTACGTACAATATAAAGTACGTATGGACAAAAGTACGTCAAGGACAAAAGTACGTATCGCAGAAGTACGTACAGTATAAAGTACGTATGGACAAAAATACGTCAGGGACAAAAGTACGTATCGCAGAAGTACGTACTGTATAAGGTACGTATGGACAAAAGTACGTCAGGGACAAAAGTACGTATCGCAGAAGTACGTAGGGTATAAAGTACGTATGGACAAAAGTACGTCACGGACAAAAGTACGTATAGCTAATGTACGTAAGGTAAAAAGTACGTATGGACAAAAGTACGTCACGGACAAAAGTACGTATCGCAGAAGTACGTAGGGTATAAAGTACGTATGGACAAAAGTACGTCACGTACAAAAGCCTACGTATAGCAAATGTACGTAGGGTTTAAAGTAGGGTAGCTTTGGGCAAGACGCCCCAGATAATTTATTTTGCTACATAGGTAAGTACCTACTTTTGTCTCACGTCACCTGGAAGGCCAAATTTGTGCTCAATGTGTTCTTTGGACATTTTACTTTCAATTCCACCCCTCAAATTCATTCACTTATGATCGGACTCAGTGATTTGTGAAGCAACTGCAAATGGGGCATTTTGCCCCAACCCCAGGGCAAAACGCCCCACGGCCTGAGGCAAGAAGCCCCATACACTAGATTAACCCTCGCGGGCCCGGGGGCGTTTTTCGACCCCCTGGCGAATATTTGCGATAGCTCCCGAACGCTTAGGGATTGGAAAGCGAAACTTTCAGTACCTTTTCTCCCATCAATTTGACATCTTCTGAAGTAAAAAAATTGGACCAAGCCCCATTGATGACGTCACCAAGTCGATTTTTCTAGACTCCTGCAGGGCAAACTTCGGTGTCACAGACGCGAACTTCAAATGGCTGCTAAAAATAGAGTTTTAGAGATAAAGACAGATTACGAGCACGGTTGTGTAGGCAATGCATTAAATTACGAGCAACGCATTTGCCTTGTCAAGCCGCGTCGAATGATATATATTTTGTTTGGAAAAGGTCAAGTTTTATGTTGACCTCATGTGACCTGGAATGACCTTTGGTTGACTTTAACACATCAAAAGTCGTATATGATGGATTCGTATCCGCTGATCACGAATCTGGCATCTATTTTCCTCTAAGCCTTCATTTAGAGCCTCCGGATGGCAAAATTGTCTTATTTATTATTACTACCTTGAATCAGTGAAATAGCCTCTAGCAAGGACTCTCTTCTGTGAGCTTGACCTTTGAGCAGCCATGTATCGTAAGATGAACCACAAATAGGGACCTGATAAGCCTCAAAACATTTCAAAACATCTTGGAAGTTGACACGCAAGATGTACGAAAAAGTGCAAAGTTTGAGGTCAATTTTGAGCATGACCTTGACCTTGACCTTGGATGCTGAGCACATTTTCGGAATCCTCAGATTCTCTTCTTTCGTTTGATACCCAATTTTGCCGGTTTTATGCATCCTGCCGTCCTCTAGAACGCTCACATTGAGGTCACTACACATGTGCCGGTTTTTGACTTTGACCTTGACCTCTAACCTTGAAAATTGGCCTGAGGTAAAAAAAAAATGTTGGGTGCTTTAGAATCGTCTCGGAAGGACCTTTCGTTTGGTATCGCTTTTGTTTGCGTAGCTCCCTTATTTACGGAGTTAGACGTAGGGGGCGAAAAACGCCCCTCCCCGGGCTGCGGTGGTTGGGATTACCCCCCGGGCCCGGCCGGGTTAAAGATTGAACATGGTAATTGGTAGCTGGCTAAATCTTATATGAGAGGTCCGTTAGACCGCTGGAGGCACGGCACTGAAGGTAACACCTTCCATCCTATCAAGTGTTCAGCTATAACACTATTGTATGAGCATGTTTTTCACCTGCCTCATAAGGCCAAATAATAAATGCATATCAGTTAACAATATACTTCCTTTGCCATACAGTTGCTGAGAAAAATACATATAAATGCATAGAAACTTGTTGTTCGCCAGCTACCGAACATTAGGAAGTGGGTAGTCCGAACAACACATGAGGTACAACGCCCCATGGGGCTTTTTACCCCGCGACCACTGGGGCGTTTTACCCCATCACGTAGTTCGGTCAGCGAACAACGCCTTGCGCTCCAGCAAGACATAATTTAACACGAACCAACCCGGCATCATAAGCGTTAGACAACAGTTGTTCAAAATACACGTACATAAAAGTCGTTAACCTGATGTGGACCACAAAAGAACGCGATGATGTATAATCAGACAACCAAACATAAAAATCACTCCAAAAACACATTTTTGGCTATATCTCCCTAGAGAGTTATCAAAATTTATTTCCAGTCTGCCCATATAATGCTCATATAGTGCACATTTAAAGGTAGACTGCCACCTTTTTTCCACAAAACGGTTTTCACTAGAGCTGAGCCACCTATGTCCCAGACTGAAGTCGGTTTTCCGAAATTCGAGCCCGTTTGCGAGAAATCGGAGACCAAAGTTCAGTTTGATGCCATTTTTTTAGTCCAAGAAAACCGACATCTCTACCTGTTTATCGATAACTTTGAAACATGAATTTTCTTATCTTTTGGTAAATATATGTCAAAACTTTGATTGTTTCGAGATCAGAGAAGAATTTTGGAGTGTCAAAATAAAAGTTAAACTTATATATTCAGTAGTTCATTTTTTCCAAAAAAGTGTGGGAAATGGGGTTTAACATGGGCGCCAGACCCATTCCAAATGAGCCATGATTTTTAAATGTTTTACGAACTTAAATGCAAAATAAATTAAACATGGCCAATTTCTTATGAAATCATATATTAGTAAATCATAAAATACCTTACTTTTTCAAATAAAATATAATAATCTTATGACCTTGAAGTCTAGTGATGTGTAAACATTGTCGCTAGACATTAACCGATTGATAATTGTATGATAATCGACAATTTTTTTCGCGATTCACGTGATGATACTTTGTCAGGTGAATTCTAAAATTTTGTTTTGTCCAGGGAATAAATCATAGGCCGATCTGAGAAAACTTTTTGAAGGTGGCAGTCTTCCTTTAACAGAAGCCGGATCTTTCCCCAGAACCCTCCTTGGGTTAAGTTGATCAATGTGTAATACCTTTTTATTCTTTATTTAATGAGCATTTGTTACAAGGCATAGCAAAATTTCTCGATGAGTAAATGGGCGAAATGGACAAAGCTATATTATTTGGTATATGAATTTATCATGAGTTCCCTGTAGTATGGCAACAGAGCAGCAATAAAGAAAAAGTGGCTCAACTTACACTACGATACCCAACTTCTAGCATACGTACTTTATACACTACATACTTTGGCATACGAACCGTGCGTATTTTTGGCATACGTACTTTTTACACTACGTACTTTTGCATACGAACTACTCGTCACTACTCAAGATTACTTTACTACTCGTCACTACTCATGCTTCGTGACTGCTGGATAGTATTGCTATCACCTCCTGAAGGCGTAATTGATAATTTGGTTCGCATATGCGTTCGCAGCATCACATTGTGTATTGGCAAAATTATTTGTAAGTAGGTAGTTATAAGTGGGAATCTGAAGCCATCGCCGAATTGATCAACGTTATGAATATTTCATAACTGGCGCAGCAAAGACATAAATCATCCTGTTCTAAGACAGGCTGCTTCGAACGCAGACATTTCGCTGACGAATTAGAGCCAATGAGAAATAGCTTGATGACGTAATTTTATCTGAGGCTGAATTGCATTGGGTAATTTGCGCTAACGCATGATTAACAACTGTTTGGAAAAAACTGCACTTCCAACTTTTTATTGAGATGCCAACCCACGGGCCGGCATGTGCTTTGCAAATTGCAATTTTGTGGATTTGGTGTCCTGTCATATAGGGCATTGGTCCTGTCTATGGTTTAGGGCCTTGGTCCTGTCCGTCACGTATATTTCTGTTTGGTGAATGCCACTGGCCCACCAGTCGGTCGAATTTTGCTTTTTCAGCAGGCTCTGAACTTGAACTGTTGAAGCCATGACAAAGTATGGGTTTCAAGTAAAGTTGGACCACAAGTTTCCAGAGAAGTGGGATGGAAATATCGTTCCAAGCCTTAGTCAGGTCTGGGACTTGGTTCCTCTTGGCCTCAGGTAAGCCCTGTGCTGAAAATGTTATTCAACCTTTTATGGGTTGAAATGTACATTCATGTCGCTCAAAACTTTTAAATTAATCAAGTGTTTCTTCGAAGGTTCGCAGATTTTACCTCCAAGTACTGCAGGGCTTAATGTTATCGGTATTGGTTGGGTAGGCATCAACAATAGCTTTCTGTTGTAAACATACAAGGTTGGTATATTAATGGGGCGGTATGCATGTGCCATTTGTGAAAGATTTCCCACAATACTGGAGCATGTTGATGATGTTATTTGTGAATTTTTTAAGCATTTTTCATCTATCTTCTACCAATTATTCTTTGTAACTCATCAAAACTAAACAAACCAGACCTAACCTATGCCACCTAATCTAATCTTTCATAACATACCTGACCTAAACAACCTAACCAAACATACTCTAACCAGCCACCAGGCCTACTGTAGCCAAAGCTAACCTGCCAGCTTCACTAAATTTAATTTAGCCTAATGTGTCAGATGAAATAAAGATAGGTTTGACTTGATTGGGTTAGATTAGGTTAGGAAGTTAGGTTTCTACATACTTCAAATACTCTGGTCACCATTGAAGTCATCAATGAGTCCAAGCATTGTGGGTAATTTCACATAGATGTTACATGCATATGGGCCCAACAATACGTAAACCCTGCCTGGATCCAACAGAAAGCTGTTGGTGGCACCTGCCCCGCAGATAACTCGTTATCTACCTGTTCCACAGCTATTGAAAAGGGTGGTCCTTATTTTCGAAAATCGTATTTGGATACCTTGCGCCCCTTCAATCGGTGCCGTTTAACGAAAAAACCTGTCTGTCAAAATTTCAGAACCCTACTTCAATATTTACTGGTAGCTCAACGTTCGTTCGTTTGTCAATGTTCGCTCAATGTCCGTTTCGTCGATCAATGTTCGTTCCCTCTTCCTTAGTGGTAACGATGTCTACGACGCAAACTTCTGGGTACATTGTGTCCCCAGTGATGAACTCCTTGGCTCCAAGCTCCCAGTAGTGGCAGAACACCTTCAATTGAGGGGGGGGGGGGAGGGCACTGCAGACTTTTGGTCCCATTCTTTCCATGCAACGCCCATAGGGCTAATGTTAAAATGACAAAATCAACCCGCTCAATCAACCCGTTCAGCTGTCTATGCAAGCTCCCATCCCGCTGCCAATCTCTCGCCTACTTCCTCCACCGCCACCAAATCCTCAAGGAAACGGTCCGGGAAGCGGCCAACCGGACGTTAGAGAAGGTAGAGGAATTCTGGGCCAGGGCTAGGATTCCCACCCAGGACAAGGGGAGAGCGGTCAAGAAGGTGGAAACTCTCTTCGACGAGTGGAAACGCCTAAAAGAGAACAAGAACAAGACTTCCGCCACCCAGACAGGCAACGAGGGCGCATTCAAAAAACGTCTGGAAGACATCTTTGATATCGCCCACGGTGACGCAATGTCCTTGATAACCATCCCGGAAGATCGCGCCTTCCTTCTCGCCCAACGTGAGCCAGGGAGACGGGACAGAATGACAGGGGCAGGCATGGCGCTCCATTCCCAAGAAAAGAGGAAGAGGAGGAGGGATGACGCCGCAGAGAGGAGGAGGAGCAAGGCGTCGGAGGAGGAGCGGGTGGCAGCCGACCAAGTGGATCTGGAAAGCTTAACCTCGAGTAGCTCCGAATCGTCCCCACTTCGCGGAGCCGTGAGACCTGATCCCAGCATGGGTACAGTCACTCTGTCATCCCGGAAGCGTGGTCGAACCACTGTCATCACGCCGCAACTTTCCGCTGACGTCTAACGTCTAACGTGTGTGTGGGTGGGTGGGTGTGGGGGCCTGGGGGGGGGGTGACCCCTCTGCCGTTTGACTTCTGATCGCGCTAGAGCTTTGCAGAAAAAAGAGCGTGTTGCCCGTGATGAGAGGAAGCCGATGGTACCCAATTTTAAGGTCCTAGGTCATTGGTTGACCTTCCAGGTCAGGTCAATGACCCAATGGTCAGGAAAATCGGAACCTGCTAAAACTTCGTAAAGTGAAGCTTTTATGGTTTTTGGGGGTGCTGATCATGAATTTCATGTTAGTTTTGATCACATATGATATCTTCATGCAATTAGACCAGGTCGGGTCAGGTCAGGTCAGGTCAACCATTAGGCGTCCTGCCGTCTATCCATAGTAGGTGTCAACTGCCTACCACTGACGGCGTCGTAACATGTTACGAAGGCACTAAAACTACTTAGTAAATGTTCAAATGGATGCTAAATTCGAAATCAGCCCGAAAAACTACCCTAGAAACATGTACAACTCGGAAAAGTGACCCGAGGTCATCAAAGTCAGTGACCTGTCCTGACCTTCAGGTGACCTTGACACCCACCGCAATGCAAGGGACGAACATCATTTCACATGTTTGGACGTTTATAATCGCAAAAAGACTATAGCCGACATACGATAAATCGCGATTCCGGCCAAACATGGTCTCGAGGAATAGGTCAGGGGTCAAAGGTCATTTGGTTCAGGGTCATGAAATTTTTAGAGTTTGTGTAAAATTGATTAACTCGAGGGTACTGAAAGTTTCGTCGTGATCGGCCGCTTTTTGCGTGAGTTATTCGCGAAAACCCATGGGGGGTCCATCCGACCCGCTACACATACGAGGGTTAATATGCTTTGAGCCACCAAAAAACATCTGTCGATTTCGCTATTTTTGCTCTTTTTCCACGTTTCTAGACGAACGGCATCATTTGAGGGGGCGCAAGCGCAAAAAAAAAACACAAATTAAAATTTTGTATGGAAATAAGGACCACCCTACTATTGAAGGTAGCAGACTCTTGATGGAAAGGAGAACTTCTCAGCCATTCATTTTCTTTGTGCTCACTTAACAAAACAAGAAATATTGTCTTGGAGATTGGGGCTGAATTTCAATCTCTTGATGCACTTAAAATTGAATTTGTATATCTCTCATCTATGGCACATCTATAACCTTAGAGTTCTGGTACCTACCTCTGTCCTCTAACTGGGCTCAAGCGGCCTCAAATTGTAATTTAAATATTGCTTCCATTTTTTGCACTTATCATTCTTTCCTGTATTAGACAAATGTTTTAGTCTGAGAGCAATGTGCAGGGTTTATGCTTTGGACTGCTTTCATCTGACCCATGTGACTCTACCTAATCACTTTGTTTCAGATATTTGGTCTGGTATGTTGGAATGTGGTTCAAAGGAAAGAAGCCCTTCATTGACCAGCTCAACCCCGTGTCTGGAAAACAAATATATGGTTAGTAATGCCTGTATTTATCTAATATCTGCCCAGCTGCCAATCATTCCACCATAATCAGAAAATGGATTTAGGTCACTGATACATACTGGACAAGTTTATCATATTTCAATTGAAAACCAATAAAAGTTGGATCATACAGTAGGTAGGTGAACATTGTCTCCACTTCCAGTCGCGAGCAGGTGTGGCCCCAGTTGTGAGTACCAGCGGCACTGAGACCGCCGGTGTGTCCGTCAGGGGTGCCTCTGGGCGGTATCGGCGCCGGCACCATCGGCCGCGGCTTCTGCGGCCAGTTCACGCGGTTCCAGGTACGGCCCGGCCTGTACGAGTACGCCACGGCCGCCGCCGACCAGTTTATCGTCACCGTCCACGGCGCCCAGAGCCACAGTCAGGTGCTGAGCGCGTGCGGCCCGCCGGCCGGCGGCCACCTCTCCGGCTGGCGGTGGTCGTTCCCGGGCGCGCAGGCCGAGTACCGCGGCCTGTACCCGCGCGCCTGGACTGACTACCGCCTGCCGGAGCAGCGGCTCAGGCTCGGCTGCCGCCAGGTGTCGCCAGTCATACCGCACAACTACAAGGTACGGACACGGAACATTCTCTACGGGGTTGCTCGTTCATGGCCATCTATATATGTTTTGTGTACCTGAATGCCCGTCCAATAACTATCGGCTGCATCTCTCCTGGTTAAATACGGCGTCTCGACTTCGAGCGATTTTTTTTTTTTCATTTCGGCCATAACTGCACCACGATCTCTTATGTTTTACAGTTAGCATTAGTTCCCAGTACTGACGCTGTGCGGTAACACCAAACTGTTTTTGAAAGCCAGCTGCGATGTTTGTTTTCAGGACACCTCACTTCCGTGCGCCGTGTTCGTTTGGGACGTGGAAAACACGGGCACGGAGGAGAGGACGGTCAGCATCACCTTCACCTTCGAGAACGGCATCGGCAGGAAACACTCCAGTACGAATCGACAAACCCTTCTGGCTCACAAACTCTGTGTAGCTTGATTTCTCCAGTTTATCATTTTTACGTTTTGTTTCGCTACTTATGTCATCACATTTTGAAATCACCCACCTTCGTCATCGATCTAGAGACCCTGAGTTGTTTTCATTCACTGATAACAGCACATGTTTACGTTGTGACCTTTGCGCTCAGCGCTGCGCGGCGTGTCGTTACACACTCGCTGACGTCTGTGATCTCCAGGTGTGAACTGCGTGGTGTCGTCCCTGGACCCGGAGCCGGCCGCCGCCGGCGGGGTATCGGGCCTCACCATAGACCAGGAGATCGGCGGCGTACCCTGTCAGTACGTCATCGCCGCCAGAACCCAGGTGGGCTGCACATGATGGGCTCTGACACCGGGGAGTTTGGATCCGAGAATCGTCACTGGTTCAAAACGATAAATGAATGTATTGGGACTTGGGGTATGGTTTTGCAAAGGTGTGATGGTTATTTAGATGATGCGCGGTACCAGAGGTCTAGCGGTTTAATCGTCTGTTGTTTAATGGATGAGTCGCGAGTTCGGTGACCTGACGAGACGGTTGTTTCTAGGAGGGAGTCCTGGTCAGTAAGAGCACGTTCCGGCCCTCGGGAGACGGGCTCGACCTCTGGAACCAGCTGGCTGCGGACGGAGGCCTCACCCTCAATCTGGAACAGAACAACACCTCAGGTATGACGTAATCAGGCGTGTGGCCAGACCGTGCCGCTGGTACTGCTTATTGTCATGTAACGGTGAGTGTGTACGCTAAAATGTGTGTTTTACTGGATTTCGGATATTGATGCGAGCACTATATTACCTAACACGTTTTATTTCCACCCTCTCAGAGGCCGGTGTGGCGGTCAGCGCGCGGGTGACGGTACCGGCCGGCTCTCAGCGCTCAGTGGAGATGGCCCTGGCCTGGCACATGCCAGAGGTGCGGTTCGGAACGGCCGCCCAGCCCGTCACCAGGTCAGTCGGAGTGGGCACGAGCCGGGTGCAAATTCAGTCACTCGTTGGCTGTTTGGTTGTGAACAGGAGCAGCCGAGACGAGTTAGATGTTTTTAATGCGATTAAGCGTTTTGTTCATTGTGATTTCACTACAGAAATGTGGGCGTGCTGTCGTAAAACAGCCGTCACCATATTGCTCGCACACACTGCGGATTTTGAGCGCTGTGATGGGCTCTGATAGGCGCGACATCTGAAACATTGCGACTTGCGAGGCATTCTCGGATAATTGTTGTGGTTTGTGTTTTATCGGATGAACACAGTATTTGTGTTGAAACGAAAGTCGTTTTACACCATCCATCAGCAACACAATTTACATTTACGACAGTTTATTGTTGCGGTGATCGAAAATCACTCGTCATGACGAGCTAACCACTGCTATTCCATATTTACTCGTATTGTCGTTGCGATATAAAGCGTGATGTTATCGCTGTGGATTCGTTGTATTGCCGTTCTCTAACGCCTGTGTCCCGGCCGTCCTCAGGTACTACAGTCGGTGGTTCGCCGCGGGCCGGCAGGGCGCCGAGCGACTCTGCCAGTACGCCCTGGACAACTACCGGCGCTGGGAGGAAGCCATCGACGCCTGGCAGCAGCCCGTGCTCGACGACCCGTGAGTGGGGGAGACAGGGTGGTGAGCGAACTGGGTGTGGTGTGGCGACTGAGGTTGCCGAGCAAATCGGGTAAGGAAAGGCATATCACTCTGTCCACATATGCATCTATCGTTCCTGTCATTGTGATGCTGGACGACCCCAATGTTCTCCCACCGCGCCGCAGGGAGCTGCCGGACTGGTACAAGTCGGCCATCTTTAACGAGCTGTACTTTATCTCGGACGGCGGCAGCCTGTGGCTGGAGATGGCGGACGCCGACAAACTGCCCCACTCGGACCCCAGGTGAGCATCACTGACCTCGTGACAATGACACAAATTAGAGAGGTGCAAATTTTTTAGTGAAAATCTGGTTTCACCTTCAGACGGACGTCGATGCCATTTCAAGAAACATCACAAAATTACTTGACCGTGATTGACCGTCTGGATTTTACGAATTCTGCCACAGAATCCCTAGCAGCTGCAATCACTTAGTTTAATCTTAGTCGTTGCTCTTCTGATCCTCACCCCTGGCACGCTGACCCCTCTACCCCTCCCTCCTCGCAGACGGGAGTACGGCCGGTTCGGGTACCTGGAGTCCCACGAGTACATCATGTACAACACGTACGACGTGCACTTTTACTCGTCGCCGGCGCTGGTCCACCTGTGGCCGCAGCTGCAGCTCTCGCTGCAGTACGACATGGCCGAGTTTGTCACACAGGTGGGTGGGCGTGACGACCTTATTGGACTGGAACGGGGTGCGTATAGGGATTCAATGATGGAGTTACTGGTGATATCACGTTTGAAGAGTCATGATTTGGTCTTTCCTCGAGTACGTTCCTTTTATTCACTTATTCATCCCGTTTGTTGGTGATCATCTTTCGACAAGTTGGCAGATCGTTTCCCTGTCTGTAGAACCACCCGGCTGATAGTTCTACTCTGACACGTACCCCGTGTCCCGTCCCCCCTGCGTCTGTGACCTCTCAGGAGGACCTGGAGCGCCGTAAGATGCTCTACACGGGCCAGACGGCAGTGAGGAAGGTGGCCAACACGGTCCCGCACGACGTCGGCAACCCCGGCGTGCCAGGTGAGGGCGCGAGTTTCTCTCTGACTGTGAGAGGGTAGGGTAGACAGAAGGTGTCCAGCACGGCACCCCGGTGAGGGTGTGCGCACTCTATCGGTCGGATCTGAGACTGGCGTACCGGCTGATGGGGAGGGTCGGGTGCGATGGAACCATCAGTCACGACTGTCGACTCAAGGCTCGACTTCGGGCGTAAGATAACAGCCAACAGGACACTGGATATTAGCTGCGTTTATAATTTCATACACTGTAGTAATATGGTATTCGCATCCCTGTTCGTTTCAGGTGAGATACCGTTTGTGAAGATCAACAGCTACCAGATTCACGACGTATCCGCCTGGAAGGATCTCAACCTGAAGTTCGTGCTGCAGGTGTGTGCAGTCTACGAACGTCCTGTGAGATGAGGTTGTTCCGTTGATAACGAGTTAATATTTCTGTAAGAAAATTTGTTTAAAGATCGCCTTAAGCCCGGCCTGCGTTCTCTTGCTCTTCCCGCCTGGCCTCCCTAGTTTAGCTGTGGAGTCTGCGCCTCGCCGTGTCCGTCTGACCGCTCTACCGCCGCCGGCAGACGTTCCGGGACCAGCGGGCGGTGGGCGCCGGCACCGGCTACCTCTCGGCCATGTGGCCCGCCTGCAAGGCCGTGATGGCCGTGGCGCGCCGCTGGGACACCGACGGCGACGGCATGATCGAGAACTCCGGGGCGCCGGACCAGACGTACGACACGTGGGTGATGAGCGGCGTGAGCGCCTACTGCGGCGGCCTCTGGCTGGCCGCCCTGTACGCCATGGCACAGATGGCCCGCGAGATGGGCGACGAGCCCGCGCTGGCCGAGTACGCCGAGCTGCTGACCCGCGCGCAGAAGGTCTACGTGGAGAAACTGTGGACAGGTGAGGAGGAACAGGGTGGGGACGGGGAGTGGACTGCGGTGGGAGCTGACAGTCTGGATCGTGGGTGAGGCTGCAGCGTAGGGGAACGAGGAAAGTGCTGTGTTGGCTTTTATTGAGCGCCTTGTTCTGGTGCCGTGTTGTATTTTTGGACTGTATTCATTTCGCGCCTGTCAGCTGCTTTTTGCAGACGCATTTCATTGGCAGTTTTGTTTTTTTTTCTCTCTCTACTTGGCCTTGGGGAATACATAATTCATCGTGCAATTCCCCTTTATCTTCCGTACGAAGTCTCTCACGTCCACCCTCATTTCTCGCTCTAACATACGGGTGCTGCTCTCCATCCGCAGTGAACAAGGCGGGCTCCTACTACAAGTTCGACACCTCGCCGGGCGACAACGGGGGCTGCATCATGGCCGACCAGCTGTGTGGATACTGGTACCTGAGGTCGGCCGGAGTCACAGAACAGGTAAATAGGGAACTGGGGGACCGGGGTAACCCTGCCGACCAGCTGTGTGGCTACTGGTACCTGAGGTCGGCCGGAGTCACAGATCAGGTAACTAGGGAACCGGGGGAATCGTACCGACCAGCTGTGTGGCTACTGGTACCTGAGGTCGGCCGGAGTCACAGAACAGGTAACTAGGGAACCGGGGGACCGGGTAACCCTACCGACCAGCTGTGCGGCTACTGGTACCTGAGGTCGGCCGGAGTCACAGAACAGGTAACTAGGGAACCGGGGGACCGGGTAACCCTACCGACCAGCTGTGCGGCTACTGGTACCTGAGGTCGGCCGGAGTCACAGACCAGGTAAATAGGGAACCGGGAGAAGGGGGTACCCGGTACATTGTACAGTTACCAGGAACCCGGCGGTTAGGTAACCAGGAAACGTCCGGGGGCACGACAATCAGAGAACCAGCGCTTTTAGCCGGCGACATTGTAACATTACTAAGTAATGAATTCGGATAGCCGGTGCTATACGGCTTTCTATGCGCGTATATAACTGCATCTATGGTTCTGAATGGAGCGAACTTGAGCCCTGTATTATACACCAGCTCTGACTCTCCCTCGCTCCCCCTGCCCTTGCTCTGCAGGTGTTCAGCTACACGGAGGAGGCGCTGCGCACCATCTACGAGAACAACGTGCTGCTGTTCCAGGGCGGCCGGCGGGGCGCCATTAACGGCATGCTGCCCGACGGCCGGCGCAACACCACCACGCTGCAGAGTGAGGAAACGTGGACGGGCGTCACGTACGCGCTGGCCGCCACCATGGTACATGAGGTGAGGCCGGAGCGGGGCGCCGCGGGGTCACTGTGAGGGCTCCACAGTCGGGGGCGCCGCGGGGTAACTGAGGGCTCCACAGTCCGGAGCGGGGCGCCGCGGAGTAACTGTGTGGGCTCCACAGCGCGGCAGGGGCTGCGTGAAGGCAGCAGACTGGAAGGGGTCGGTGGTGGAGAGGGTAGTGGATACGAGATATCAGAGAGACTCCAGGACTATTGTGGGGTTCGTACTTCGTACATTGTTTTGATGAACAATGTTTTAAACGGCCGGGGGGATCCAGGGCGTCGCAAGTCCATCTACGACACGTCGCAAGTTACGACACATATGCCGTCGCAAGTTGTGTCGTAGCGGAAAAGGAGGGATGTTGAGGAAAGAGGGGTTTGTCGGAGGATACGACAGAACGTAGCTGCGACGAGGCTTAAATACCCGCTTTACTCGAGAATTTAAAAGGCTACACGATCAGCTGATCCCGTAGTAAACGTCAGTAAGGTCGAAAACTCTATCATCACGCATAAAGGAACATTCGCCTTTCTGGTTTGCGAGCTTATGAGACAGCAAGCAAGGTCAAGCATGTTCTCTGATTCTGAAGCTTTGTATTAACTGGGTGACTTGTGGTTGCTAACGATCACGTGATTTGCCATAAAATTTGGGATCGATCACAGGAGATTCGTGGCTATAGGGCATCTAGAATCGATGCTTTAGAAGAAATGAGTTCCGAGAGTTTGAGGTCACAGAGAGGTAAGAAATTTGTAGATGGAGGTCACAATTGGAGGTTACAGAGGTCATCTGGGACACGTCAGGTCACAGAGGTCAACTTGGGGTCATCACAGAGCTCAATTGGAGACCACGGAGGTAATCTGAGACACGTCAGGTCACAGAGGGCAACTTGGGGCACGTCAGGTCACAGAGGTCAACCTAGGGTCATCACAGAGCTCAATTGGAGGTCACGGAGGTCATCTGGGACACATCAAGTCACAGAGGTCAACTTTGGGTCATCACAGAGCTCAATTGAAGGTCATTGGGGCCATCTGGGACACGTCAGGTCACAGAGGTCAGCTTGGTACCATCAGAGAGGTCACTTAGAGGTCACAGAGGTCATATGGGACACGTCAGGTCACAGAGGTCAACTAAAGGTCATCAGAGAGCTCAATTGGAGGTCATCTGGGACACGTCAGGTCACAGAGGTCAGCTTGGAGTCATTAGAGAGCTCAATTGGAGGTCACGGAGGTCATCTGGGACACGTCAGGTAACAGAGGTCAACTTGGGGTCATCACAGAGCTCTGTTGGAGGTCATGAGGGTCATCTGGGACACGTCAGGTCACAGAGGTTAGCTTGGGGTCATCATCATAGAGGTCACTTAGAGGTTACAGAGGTCATATGGGACACGCCAGGTCACAGAGGTCAAGTTGGGGTCATCACAGAGCTCAAATGAAGGTCATCTGGGACACGTCAGGTCACAGAGGTCAGCTTGGAGTCATCAGAGAGCTCAATTGGAGGTCACGGAGGTCATCTGGGATACGTCAGGTCACAAAGGTCATGTTGGGGTCATCACATAGCTCTATTGGAGGTCATGGGGGTCATCTGGGACACGTCAGGTCACAGAGGTCAGCTTGGAGTCATCAGAGAGCTCAATAGGATGTCACGGAGGTCATCTGGGACAGGTCAGGTCAAAAAGGTCAACTTGGGGTCATCACAGAGCTCATTGGAGGTCATCGGGGCCAGCTGGGACACGTCTTTTTTGGAATTGGGAGAATATTTTGGGGATGCCCCTTGCAACGTCCAAGACCGCCTTTCTGGATTCGCCAGTAGTTGCTGGAATGGTGTTAGGCTACTTCATATCCCCGAATACCCCAATAAATGTGAATATAACATATTATGCACCATTTTCAACACTCTCGCTGGCACGGATTGAGGCCTCATAGACGACCCGTCAGTTCAAGCTCTATAACTCGCGTTAGCGTCAACGGATTGCAACCAAATTTTCAGGATCTAAAGTTTAAACAATTTTACACCTACCATGTAAATTTCGTGACCATGACCCGTATGACCTGTGACCTGTGACCTCTTCCTCAAGGCAAGGTCAACTTGCGACACAACTTACGAATGCTATTTCAAATTCGTAAGTTGTGTCGCAAATCAGGCTATTTGCGATAGACTTTACTACTTAAGTAACGCTACTCATCGATTGATCCCTTCAAAAACGACTTACTACACAACTTGCGACACGTCGCAGCTACGACGAGGCTTACGACGTTCTGTATCCCCCTTAGGCCGGGGGGATCCAGGGCGTCGCAAGTCCATCTACGACACGTCGCAAGTTACGACACATGTCCCGTCGCAAGTTGTGTCGTAGCGAAAAAGGAGGGATGTTGAGGAAAGAGGGGTTTGTCGGAGGATACGACAGAACGTAGCTGCGACGAGGCTTAAATACCCGCTTTACTCGAGAATTTAAAAGGCTACACGATCAGCTGATCCCGTAGTAAACGTCAGTAAGGTCGAAAACTCTATCACGCATAAAGGAACATTCGCCTTTCTGGTTTGCGAGCTTATGAGACAGCAAGGTCAAGCATGTTCTCTGATTCTGAAGCTTTGTATTAACTGGGTGACTTGTGGTTGCTAACGCTCACGTGATTTGCCATAAAATTTGGGATCGATCACAGGAGATTCGTGGCTATAGGGCATCTAGAATCGATGCTTTAGAAGAAATGAGTTCCAAGAGTTTGAGGTCACAGAGAGGTAAGAAAGTTGTAGATGGAGGTCACAATTGGAGGTTACAGAGGTCATCTGGGACACATCAGGTCACAGAGGTCAACTTGGGGTCATCACAGAGCTCAATTAGAGACCACGGAGGTAATCTGAGACACGTCAGGTCACAGAGGGCAACTTGGGGACACGTCAAGTCACAGAGGTCAACCTAGGGTCATCACAGAGCTCAATTGGAGGTCACGGAGGTCATCTGGGACACATCAAGTCACAGAGGTCAACTTGGGGTCATCACAGAGCTCAATTGAAGGTCATTGGGGCCATCTGGGACACGTCAGGTCACAGAGGTCAGCTTGGTGCCATCAGAGAGGTCACTTAGATGTCACAGAGGTCATATGGGACACGTCAGGTCACAGAGGTCAACTAAAGGTCATCAGAGAGCTCAATTGGAGGTCATATGGGACACGTCAGGTCACAGAGGTCAGCTTGGAGTCACTAGAGAGCTCAATTGGAGGTCACGGAGGTCATCTGGGACACGTCAGGTAACAGAGGTCAACTTGGGGTCATCACAGAGCTCTATTGGAGGTCATGAGGGTCATCTGGGACACGTCAGGTCACAGAGGTTAGCTTGGGGTCATCATAGAGGTCACTTAGAGGTTACAGAGGTCATATGGGACACGCCAGGTCACAGAGGTCAAGTTGGGGTCATCACAGAGCTCAAATGGAGGTCATCTGGGACACGTCAGGTCACAGAGGTCAGCTTGGAGTCATCAGAGAGCTCAATTGGAAGTCGCGGAGGTCATCTGGGACACGTCAGGTCACAAAGGTCATGTTGGGGTCATCGCATAGCTCTATTGGAGGTCATGGGGGTCATCTGGGACACGTCAGGTCACAGAGGTCAGCTTGGAGTCATCAGAGAGCTCAATAGGATGTCACGGAGGTCATCTGGGACAGGCCAGGTCAAAAAGGTCAACTTGGGGTCATCACAGAGCTCATTGGAGGTCATCGGGGTCAGCTGGGACACGTCGTTTGTGGAATTGGGAGAATATTTTGGGAGATGCCCCTTGCAACGTCCAAGACTGCCTTTCTGGATTCGCCAGTAGTTGCTGGAATGATGTTAGGCTACTTCATATCCCCGAATACCCCAATAAATGTGAATATAACATACTATGCACCATTTTCAACACTCTCGCTGGCACCGATTGAGGCCTCATAGACGACCCGTCAGTTCAAGCTCTATAACTCGCGTTAGCGTCAACGGATTGCAACCAAATTTTCAGGATCTAAAGTTTAAACAATTTTACACCTACCATGTAAATTTCGTGACCATGACCCGAATGACCTGTGACCTGTGACCTCTTCCTCAAGGCAAGGTCAACTTGCGACACAACTTACGACTGCTATTTCAAATTTGTAAGTTGTGTCGCAAATCAGGCTATTTGCGATAGACTTTACTACTTAAGTAACGCTACTCATCAATTGATCCCTTCAAAAACGACTTACTACACAACTTGCGACACGTCGCAGCTACGACGAGGCTTACGACGCTCTGGATCCCCCCAGCCTTAATGTTGTTTTCTCATAGACGTCGGTGTTTCGTAGGAGCTTTTGATATGTAACGAATTCGATCACGGATATATCATTCAGAATGGCGAATGAGTCTGGAACTTTTTGTTTTTTTTTATGTATGAATGGCTGAGTGCGCTGTTTTTATCACTATCATTAGACAAATGCGTCTGCCCGAGGGTAGGGCGCTTCCGGATCAATTTCTGTTGAGTATTTGTGAATGGTGACGTCTGTTTTTGTTGTGCGTAATCTCACTGAGGTCAGTTCGGGCTCCGCTGTCGGGGGTAAAGTCCGGCCTCCGGATTGTCTGTGTCTGATGCCCGGTCCGGCCGCCCGCCAGGGGATGATCAAGGAGGGATTCCACACTGCCGAGGGCATCTACCGCACCGTCTACGAGCGGATCGGACAGGGCTTCGAGACGCCCGAGGCGCTCTATCCGGAGAAACACTACCGGGCTGTGGGCTACATGCGGCCGCTGAGCATCTGGGCCATCCAGCGGGCCTGGGAGCAGCGGCGCGCCACACTGCCACCTAGTGGCCAGGAGTAGAACCACTAGTTCGCGGCGAGCCCGGCCTCCGTGATACGGGGAGAGGCTGGAGCACTGGAGAGTGTGATTTTGATGTTACGGATTGCTGGTTGATGATATAATCGCTTTGTGTAATATGCACTAGTCATATGTAACCATGCAGGACGAGTGAACGCTTTTCTATCAGTTGTGATTTTTCTGTAGCCTATTTTCGGGGGCCAATAGGTACCGATCGCAGTTAGCTACGCGTCAGGAACGACGAACAAGCCGGGTATCCTGTCAGAAAATATCGAGCATGTGATTGATGTCATTGATTGGTGATCGTGGTTGTGCTCTGTTTCTGTACGTGATCGCTGTACGCTGTTAAGAGAATTCAAAGAGAGTGAGAAAGACGCCGAAAAGAGCAATAGTCCTCTTAAAGTAGGTACCACAGCCCAATTACACCACAATCAAAATATCGTTATTCCTCTGCACAGCCACTCATTGTTTCCGTACATTGTTTTCCATAGGCCGTGTGTGTGTGTTGAACTGAAGTGCCTTACACTGCCTGCGTTCCTCGGCCATTGCGTGTGACCGACGTACTTCATTTGTTCAGAGCTCGACGTTTTTCTGACTGGCCGCCTGTGTCGGGTCTTCTGCCTATCGACGCTTCTGCGCCAGTGTCCGTGAGCTTCTGCTGTGTCGTGGCGTTACCCTTTCCCGGGCCTGAGGGTGGTTTCTGCAGACCATTGCCTCCACCGATGGCGGTCGCTGCGCCTCATTCGCTGTGCTCTGGGTGCGGCGAATGGTGAGTCACTCATTCACGTGTGTCGCTTTATGTGTCCCAAGTCAGCAAGGTTGTGCTCGACTCAAAAAAATTTGCCGACTCGACTCATCATTCAACTTCAGAATGCCCTGACTCAACTCTGACTCAAACAAGGAGCTGATTTTTTTCCCTTGACTCGACTCATGACTCAAGCGGCTCAATGAAAATATGAGTTGACTCAAACTTGACTCAAATTTTTTGTTGAGTCAAGTGCGTTGACTCAAAATTGACTCAGATAAAAAAGTTGTTGAGCGGGGGGGGGGGTAAAAAAATCCGGCATCAGGGCCAGGCCCAAGTTGTTAAGCGGGGGAAGAATGATAAACTTATACTATATATTGTTTCTAGAAAGTTGAGTCAGCTGACTCATGTTCCTAAATGTTTTTGACTCAACTCAATGTCAAAAGTTATTTTACTGACTCAACTCTGACTCAACTCAACACCTTAATATTTTTGTCCGACTCAACTCTGACTCAACTCAACAGCTCAACATTTTATCCGACTCGACTCAAATCTGACTCATTTGAGTCAGAGTTAAGTCAAATTTCTGACTCGACTCATGAGTCAAGCACAACCCTGCAAGTCAGTCGAGCTAAGTCGCCGCCCGCCGGGCGCCGTCTGCCCAGCCGGGCTGGGCCAGTGCCGTGTGCTTCACCTGCGCCGGTGGCAGCTTTTCCATACATTGCCTCACGCCGTGCGTCTGTCCTGTTCCGTCGGTCTGAGGACGAGTCCTCGCGTGGACCGTGTGGCCATTGGTCGGTCTTGTGATTGTTTTCTATTTCTGTGCACATTGCGCCAGTCTGTGTCTGTGAAAGGTGACCGGACCGCCGGCTGCCGGGCGGTTACAGCCGTTCTGGAGCTACGGTAACCGGCCAGCGTCGCTCCAGCGTCGGCGTGTGCTCCAGGACGGCCCATATCCAGGTTACGCTATTTTCTGCGGATATTATAGCGGTGATTTTACCAGTGTTGCAGGTGCTTGGTCAATAAACGCTGAAGCTGTACTGTAATTAGCTGCTCCCTAGACATGTCGGTGGAGTGTCTGCAGGTACTATGTGTGTGGTATCACCTGCGGGGGCGAATATTACAAGTACAAATTAAATGTTCCTATCGACGGAAAATGATGTCAGTTTTTCGCGTCCTAGCTCGCGAGCATAAAAGAAACGGATTACGCGCCGTCACTCACTTTACCGAGAATAACGGGCACATTAACGGACGCGTACTCACCGTCTATGGCTGAGCCGGACCTCCTGTAAGTCAACTGGATTGTAGGTCAATACCTAACTGCTTGCCTCATTCCGCACCCTCAGAGTAGAAGTGTCGTGTTTTCCCGTCAATTGTTTTCATACAGAATCGTCCCGTCCAGAGTTCAAGTTTGTCAGTGATTTCCAACTGTCTACTTCATAATTGCTACAAAAGAATCAGTACCGCCCTTCAGGGACTACGAGGCTTCGAACTAAACGGTTAGTTGGACTTGAACTAAACGCTTACGACGCAACAACATGCATGGATGTGCCTTCTGCCACAAACAATCGTTTTTTTTTTTGTCATTCTTGTGCGCTTCTTTGGCAATGCTTGTACAATGTACACTGCCCACCACAACACACGAGCCAGTTTGTCTCCACTCTCCATCACCATAAATATGCGACAAGAAGTTCAGAAAAAAGGATTTAGGAGGCTTGTACAGGGTGTCTCAAAAGTTCGCTTACAGGTACCAGCCATGCTTTTTTGTCAATAATTTTGAATCAACAGGAAATTAACAGTCGAAATTTTGCATGGGCATTGGTAACAACCTTCCTCAAGCAGCTTCATTGTTTTCAAGCGCATTCGACCCTTCATGAGCTCACAAAAAGGGTTCACCTCTGACCATGGATCAGGCATGAAAATGGAGGTCGCATACTCGGGTCGGCTGAGAAACTCTCTGCTTCACGAGTAATGGGAATGGTTAGGTCGGAAATGACACATGGCAAAGTGTCGGCGAGGATGAGTACAACATGATGGTCATCTAATAAAAACGGTGGCTAAAATTTTTGAAGGACAAAACCATGCGAGACTAACAGCGCTTTGAACGACCCTTGTACCGCAGCAGACTCGTGCTCCGGAAAGCAGCTGAAAATGCAGTCCTAACTATTGAAAACTTACTAGAAGCTCACAGACAGAGGTTACCCAGTTTCAAAAATGGGGTTGGGAACTCGATTTTTTAAGAATGCATGAAAATGATCAAACTATTTTCACAGAATTTATGGTGCATACCATTGCCTCGTAAAATCAATAAGCTGAGAGAAATGGGGGAAGAAAGATAGGAAACTTGTTTTGAAAAGTTCTTGAAAAAAGATGCTCTTGATGCTGTTACGTCACATGTCACCTTCTGCGGTTGACAAATAATGGCGCATCTGGCGCACCACAGATTACATGTTATATCAATGGGTGAAAGATGTTGTTTGCTTCACTCTGCCATTCGCGCTGTTTTTAACTTTAAATTATGCTAAAACATTTACGGATGAAATGTTCAGTGTCAAAAATTGATGTGTCTGCCGTGTACTATATTCCCACTTAACATGAGCGCGTGATAAACATTTTATGTACCTCGAATTTTCAAATGAAAAAGATGATGAATCGGAGGATGCTGAAAAGCAAAAGCTCATTCCAATATTTGGACTACTTTACGATTAAAATGTTTACATTCCTGTCATCTTATTGATCATTTATTTGTTCTTTTCTATGAAAATAACTTAAGACGTTGAGAACCGAGGTAATTTCTATCTACCGTGCCTTAACTTACCAGCAACAGCAATCTATCTACGCCCTACGGTGGCAAGGGAGACTGTGAAAGAAGCGTAAGATGGATTCTAAACAATTCTTTTGTGATATACTGAAGGGCAAAGTGCAGAGAAGAGCGTACACGGCCCCCGCCGAAGTTAGTTGGTAGCACTGCTGCTCCACGGCGTACATTTCCTACCAGCCCATAGGGTTTACATGTTAAATGGCCTGTTTTCAGCGAGCGATATCTCGGTCAACCTTTGAAGGAATCAATGGTTCTTAGTCTCCAATGATAGATCGATGAATTTTCTTTCGACAATTCCTCTACCATTTTTCACGAAACCCAGCCGATCTTCTACGGCGTACAGGGTAAAGATTTCTCTGCACGCCAGCACCCGCGATCCGCCTCTCCGATCGTCGGCGCGCGGTCCTCGGTAGCGCAGTCGGTAGCGTATCGGGCTACGGATCCGAGGGTCGTGAGTTCGAATCCTGGGAGCGCCGCGTGATTTCGGCTAGAATCGAATGATGTAGATTCTTGAATGTTTGCATAATCAATTATGAATAGCTAATAGAATGTATCTGCCCACTAATCGGCCCCTAAAACCTGTTATTTTAGAAATATGAGAAATGAATGTCACGTGCGCGTCACAACTGCCGACCATAAGCGTTACCATATTCTAGTTTGAACTAACTTTTTGCTAGTCCCGACCACATATAGTAGGTTTTCTAGTAGATATACTAGAAATGCCTACCAAAGTTCGTCCTACCCGTCACTCAATATACCCTGAGCGTACAAGTCCTGTTTTGTGCCAGGCTGTTGCAGTAGCACTTATGAAACTCCGAAAACGATCTTCGTTCATGTCCCGAACAACATTACCCTGAGGAGATGATCGTCTGCAATAGCAGGAAGAGCTGATGCAAGTACTTTGAAATCCACTATCAAGTCGGTGCTATTGTTGTAATGATCACTGTGAGGTGAGATATTTTGTGCAAGGGCTGAGTGTAATGCCCAGGAAATGACCTCCATTCGCCCCTGACCGGTCAGGGTTATAAAATTTGAGTGGATGGCGGTCCGTTTGGTGTTCAGATGTCAATTGCATTTTGTTACTGTCAAACAATACATGTTATGCTGGCAGCGAATGTGTGTAACGTCGTTTTTCGAAACAGAAGTTAGAACTGTAACGGCAGAGTGCTTGCTGGTCTCATCGTAAGTATTGTCAGTGTTGTAAGCAAAAGCATTGTCAATATTGTAAGTATTGTGAGCATTGATGTATGGTAGATATCACCTCACATGATCTCGGCTCAGATAACCCTCTCCGGTGTCCCTGTCAGTAAATGGCACCTGGATCATTACAGATAAGATAATTTGTCATAATTCTTAAAGAATTGGGTGGTTTTGACTCGTTTACTCGAGGTGCAGGTCGCATTTCAATACTTTTCCATAGGCTTGCAATGTAAAGGTCACGACTCTGACCTAACCTCAGGTCACAGATAAAAAATTCTGAGATATACAAACGACACATACTGCAGGTACTATTTTGAAGACTTGATGAGAGGAAATAACTTCGTGAAAAACTCAAGCTCTGACGTGTTTGCAAACTTTT